TATTATGTATCGGGTTTTCTCCTTCGATATTTTCTTTTATTGTACGCATATCAGCAGCGCCTTCACTTTGAGCCCACAAAGAGTCGCTTTCACCTGTTCAATTAAGTCCTCGCTTTCGACCAAAGACACTCTAGTTATTTCGCGATTTTGTCAGGTACGAGATAGAGGAGGTCGAGCTTTCTTTCTCACTTTTCTCGTCTAATTTACGGCACCGTTAAGACGGGCCGGAAGCCAGTGCAATCCGCGTAAAAATAATCGGCTCGATCGCCAGTTTTATTTCCTCTTAGTTACATTACAAATCCAGTGATCATTAACTCTAATTATCATTAATTTACGACGACACGACGCAAAAGTCGACTTAGACTCGTCCCAGACTCAGAAGTGACTTCGTACGAATCTCAATTTTTTTCTTTTTTCTTGACGTAGTTTAGTCATCACTTTATCGACGTATAAATAAAGCAAAAGCTCATTAGAAATTTTAATGTTGTAAAAGGGGGAAAAATTCTCTCTCTCTCTCTCTCTCTCTCTCTCTCTGAGTTTGAACAATGAATTGACGCATTCCACACTTCTGTTTCCAGTATAGGAGATTGACCTCGTCGAAATTATACCGGTTTCGAACTCGGTGTCGCGGTGCAAGTTTTTCGATTGTTTGCTTGGAACAATGTGCGATTCCCACCACTCGGGGAATCGACGGGATCGACCCGGCGACTTAAATCTGCGAGCCGCCGCGGCAGGAAAAATCTTTAAAAATGCCCCGACGAAAAAAGCGCGCATGTGCAGCCACGAGCCATCTCTCTTCCCTTGCTCCTCTTTCTCGCCTCCTACTACCGATGCGCTATAGTCCTCCTGGCTTCGCTTTATGCGTTCCTCGCAGCCAAAACAAATCGTAAAGACGCCCGGCGGAGTGCAATCCCATGCTTATTATCGAAAAATCAATGATATCAGCATTGGCGACTTTTCTCAAACACGAAATACCATTCCACGAACAGTATCCAGCGATAGACGAAGAATTTTATGTTTTTACACCGTGTTCCCGTATCTCGTTTCACTAATAATAAGTTGATATTTCCCAGCTATTTGTATGGGAGATTTTTTTCAATAAAAAAATACCCGACATCAATTTTGTCAAAGGCTCCGTTTTCAAAATATCAACGAAAGGAGGAATAAGAGCTAATCGTAGGTAGATTATGTGTGTCCGATTCTTTATCAATCTTTTTTTTTTTACTTTTATTCTCAATTATACATTCGAAACTTAATATATATTATCCTTTATATCTTGCACGTATTGTACAATTTTTTCTACAATGTTCCTCTTAACAATTATGTGATTATCTCCATTCTCTCTTCTTTTATTGGTAAGCTCGTGTAATTTCTACCAAGATTTCTTTCTGATTTTTGTTGATACAAGTGTTACTAGTCTAGCCAAGTGTCTCTTGATATCCTTACTCTGACTTGAAATGAGATATCGATATCACGAGAAATATTGACTGATACGCAACAACATACGATATTTAAAATTGTCACTAAAAATAATTTTGTCTGTTATGTTTTAGTTTCGAATGAACGTGTTGAATGAAAGTAACAAAGTTTAAGTGATTCATTTTTTATGTATCTATCAAGACATATTTATAAGTTGTCGAAATAGTGCGCGGTGCTAGATTTTATGGCTCACCCTATGAGACTTGAGTGATAAACCGGTCCGAGTGAACAAAACGTCATTCAGCAGAGATTCCCCGCATACATATTTCCCGTTCTAACCGTCTGTATAATAATGCAACACTGTTGAACAAGTATCTCATTTTCACTTACTAGCTGTTCTTACCGAATTTCGATGCAGATTTAAATTTCCTTGACAGAATTTGAAAATTGATTTTCCATTATTGTAACAATCAAAAACTGACCACACACACACACACCCACACACACACACAGAGAGAGAGAGAGAATATATACTTTTTTTTTCTATTTAGCCTATTTATATTATTTTACTAAATTTAAGCGATCATTTATGTTTGAAGTATTTGTATTATTGAAATCTTAAGCTTTGTATTCGTTTGAGAATAACTCGTAAGCAAAGAGAACAAGGAGGAATAAAAGTAAGAACAACTCTCCGTAACACTCTCCAATGATATATCCATTTGTAAGTGTAACTCTCAAGAGTGACTCTCGACGGTATTTCTTTCAAATGAACAGTAGTCGCTTGTCTTTATGTGATTTGTGAAACATAACGCGCATCAAAATCAACTTCGAGAGCTTACGATTGCTTAGTTGGTAAAGTTATAAGTGGATCGCGTCTCTCATTAAAGCTCGGTCGGACTGTAGCAAAACTTGAAGTTCGTATCAACGCTTGCCAATGTTTATCCACGCAAATGCAAGAGAAATCGGAAGAACAATCTGACATTTCTTTAATGCAATTTAGTATTAAGAACATTTCTTGAATAACTTGACACTGGGAAAGATTCTCGTGCTACGATGGAGAGAAAACTAATTTTTATCTTTGTTTCTTTTTTATAGTCTTTGTAAGTATTAACCTTCCGCGTTTGAATAATTGACCGAATGAAGTATTATTACTTATTATTACTCTCGTTATTATCACTGTCTATTATCACTGAATTGTCGGAGTGGAATTTTTTTTAAAAATTGTATTTACCTAAATTACAATTTTTTTTTCTAATTTTTTACAAAAATCAAATTTTGGAGCAAACGAAAAAGTCATTACTTTATTCTATTAATTAAACTTTTAGTGTCTTTGATGTTTTTATCTTAATTATCAGCTTCCGTAAAATGCACTTGCGGCTTACAAAAACTTCTTGTGAGATTTCTTTTTACACGATATAGCTAATGACTTCCTGGATGCGAAGGAAATTTGGACGATTGCTCCAGGATTCTGGATGTAATTAAGTGTTACCGGACGGAGATTGAGTTTAATGAGACGTAACGTCGCCTTGATAGCATAACTTAATGAATTTCTCGAAATAAATCGGCTTTAGAACTGATTAATGAATATATTGTAATTTTTCTAATACAGGAATATGTATTTATTTTTTACAATTTATATATATATATATATATATAATATATGTTAAATTGTAAAAGAAGAGAGAGATGTCAGCCGCAAATATTGACGCAATACATATACATATATGATTGATGTTGCTTCTATAATGATACAATTGCTTGGATTTCTTCCTGCTATCTAGAAATATTGAAAGCCTTTCAGATTTCTTTTGATTATATAATACACTCAATTAGAAAAAAATGATGTTTGCAAAACAAGATAGCACTATATACGCACTAATTAAAAACTTCACGCTAATCATGTTGAATTTGCAAAATGTTACACAGAATCAATATATCAACAACGATAACGATACTTTTCAAGCCGTAAATATCACATTAGCAACTTTTCGGTCGGTAGCTTTTCTCTCCGCGATAACGGGATATTACAATGTTATCGCATCAGAGATTCTCAAAATAGTTAAAGCAATTATATGATTGAACAAACTTGGGATTGCAATAAATTAATCTCAACCGGTGCACGGAATATTATCTTAACAAATAACGGTTATGTAACGAATAAATACGGTACAATAAAAACAATTAACTATAAATACGATTTTTTTTTCCACGTGCAAACGATGGATGATACGTGTTGCGTTAAATTTTTGTTTCTCTGGAAAACAAATTTATATATCGGTAAACTTCGTTAACAAATATTTCCAAATCTTATCGTTATCTGCCATATGACATTAACCATCGCTACACATCACATTACACAACGATCGATTTCACGTTCTTTTATATTCACATTCGTTTAAGTTTCACATTTTTATATTTTTTCGTCTCTAATAAATTAGCGTTTGTTCTACTTTTAATCAATTTTCCAAAGAAAATTAATTATCGAATATTTTTGTATACAATTCTGCTCGACATAAATTGCGGATCTTGTAGATCGTGACTCGTTGCGTATCCAGGCGATAAATCTATTGGAATACTTTTCCCGAAGAAACAGTATAGCATCAGATGAATCAACAAAGCAAAAGCAACAATTACTTTAATATAGATTACGCAAAATGTAAATTGAGTGACAAATCCGAAGTGGCAAATAAGAAAAAATAAAGAGTAATGTAATTAGTCCGATAAGAGGAGGAATGCTTCGCGATATTGCGTAACATAAATTCTGTAATCGTAAAACGACTTAAGCCATCTTATTCCTTGCAATGTAATTGCGCGCGATAATACCGATTGAGTGAGACACATGTCTTAAATAAGTGTCTTAAATAACATAAGCAAAGTTTAATTAAAAATTTTGTTCGATGATGACCTTCTTTTGAGTTTACCTCTTATTTTCGGTTAATTACAATCGCATCCGCTTTTGTTACCTGCATATTTAAAAAAAATTCACGAGTATAAAAAAAACACATTAAAGCGAATGCGCGATATGATTGTAAGAAGTTCCGTCTTATTCGAGTATCCAAGGATAAAATTCCTCAAGGATTCAGGAATCCAGCGAATCGAGCACGTGGTTTTGTATGGCGTTTAGCACCTTATAAATTATCAGCACGATACGCAGTTCATATATATTCGACCTGCATAACAGCGATTGAACTTGTGAAGCGTGAACCGGACGTGTCTATCCATGCGTGACTAGGAACGTGGTCTGATCTGATATTCTAGAGCGTGCTTTCTAAGATCGAAGATTCTAAAGATGCAAACATCTGCATGGCCTAATTTCGAATAATGTTATTCTTGATCAGAATTGCCCAAAGATATACCTGTAAAATTTTAGTTTTATTTTTATAAATGCTCACCATCTATTCACACGATATTAAACTGTACACGAAATTTGAGACGATAAATGTAATGATAGTTACCGATAAAATAAAACTTTTCATTGTTTACAAAAATTGTTTACGAAAAATAAAACAAATATCTCATATTTCTTCTCTTGCACAATGATGCGCTAACTGCGAATCCTCTTCTGCATTGTTTACTTGCAGATACTGGCGCGCCCTACGTATTGTACAAAGATAACATGGAGAGACCCCAGGGTCAGTGGGGCCCGGGGCCGGGATCTCTCCAGGACGGTGGACTGTACCCGCAGCAGCAGCAACAACAGCAGCAGCAGCAACAGGGTTCCTCCTCGTCGGGAAGTCCACAGCAGGCCTGTGGACCTCCGGTCGAAGGCGGCGAAAGTGGTCCTCCGCCCTCGTTAGCCTCGCCCGTGCCCTCACCATATCCTTCGGCGCCTCCCGAGCCTCAATCCTTGACTCCGCCGGACGATGATATACAATCGAGTCAAGCCACGTCTCAACAGCAGCAGCAACAGCAGCAGCAACAAACGCAGCAGCAGGTCCAGCAGCAGCAGCAGCAGCAACAAGCAGCAACAACAAACGCAACAGCAAGATCATTCGCCGCAACAACAATTGACTCCTCACGCAGAGGTGGATCGCAGCGACTGCTTTCCCGGCGCCGGAGAGCTGCAGCAATATCCGCAGCATTATTTTAAAGAAGCCCGGCCGCATCCCTCACCGTCCGTGCCACCGCATATGCTTACGCCCGGTGGCTTCTCCGCGCTACACTATCTCAAGCAACCCGGAGTAATGCTGACGTCTCTCGGCCAAGGCGACGGCGGACCTGGTCTGGACGCGCATCAGTACGCGAGTCCGGGCGCGCCGAACATGGCGACCGGGCTGCCTGACATCGTGCAGCAGAGCGGTAAATCGTCCAAGGCCGGTAACAGCGATCTACGTCTGTTCAAGTGCTTGACCTGCGGCAAAGATTTTAAGCAGAAATCGACTCTGCTGCAGCACGAGCGGATCCACACAGACAGCCGGCCGTACGGATGTCCGGAGTGCGGCAAGCGGTTCCGTCAGCAATCCCATCTCACGCAGCATCTGCGCATACATGCTAACGAGAAGCCGTACGCTTGCGTATACTGCGAGCGTACGTTCCGGCAGCGTGCCATCCTCAACCAGCATCTGCGCATCCACTCGGGTGAGAAGCCATACCAATGTCCGGAGTGCGGAAAACACTTCCGTCAGAAGGCGATCCTGAATCAGCACGTCCGCACACACCAAGGCGAGCATTTCTCTCTGCCTCCCAGACTCCCCAGAGGGCGTCCACCACAACCAAACACTGACTCACCCACCGGTTCTCACTCATTACTATCGCAACCACCATCGTCACCGTCACCATCGGCATCATCGCCATCGTCGTCATTATAATCATCACGTTCATTACCGCCGGCGGTACAATAACCCGCATACTAACGATTCATCTCGATTCTCACCTGTCCATCTGCACCAGTGGTGGATTTACAGTTCTAGAAAGAACAAAGAGTTACAAATTGACAATACGATATGTCTCGAAATAATAGGGGTAAATTCACGACTGGTCTGTATCAACTACATCCCTCACCGCAGCTTGCCGGAACGCGCTTTATCTTTGTTTCAAAAGCTTCCACAACTAACGACGACGAGTACCAGTATCCATCGGCCTCGTTGAAGCTAAGGCCAACCGGCGGGTAAGAACGGTTGAGCTGGACGCGACAGCGCTGGTGAGCTGTGAGATAGAGCAGTCCCCGTCCTCTTTCTATATGATCCGACTTGTTATCCAACTAACCCAACTCTCCTTTAATAACTCTAATTCCTCGCGTGTTCCTTCGTTAAAATGGACATCGGCCTACTACGGATAATTATTTTGTCTAACATTTTTTCCCGTATATATTTACTACTAACAATTTTCAATGGGAACCGCGATAAATTGGTTTACGGTAATTTCCCAAACAACACAAAAGTTCAAAAGACGTGCAAACGCTTCGAATCAATCAGGATATCTGATTAAACTGAAACTTTTTTTAACATTTGTGTTGTCTGGATGTTTTCACTTAATTTGAGCGAATATATACGAGGTCGCACTTAATTCGTGCTACAGTTGGCATGTAGATTGATAGATTTTATCCTGTATCAGTAAACCGTAATCCGGGCTACTAACGTTCCTCTTATCCATCTACCATGGAATATCGCCGATGAACCGTGGATCGTTCTCTCGTTACAGACGTGAGTCCACATCTAATCTTCAAGAACGGAATGACGCCGACTCTTTGGCCGCAGGACGTTCCCTTTCCGCCTGAAGAGGGTAAGGAGGAAGTGGCATCGACATTCGGCGACACGGACACGCAGTCGGGCGCGTTCAGTCCGGCGCCGGACGCGAACTCCATCCAGTACCCAGCATACTTCAAAGATCCAAAGGGCGGCAATCACGCGGTCTTTGGCGCAGGTGGCTCGGGCAGCTTTGGTGCCTTGCAGTACATCAAGCAGGGTGGCACGAAAAGCTGTCTACCCGACGTGATACAGCATGGCCGCTCGGCCGGCATGCCGTTGTATGTGCGTTGTCCGATTTGTCAAAAAGAGTTCAAGCAAAAGTCCACGTTACTGCAACACGGGTGTATACACATCGAGTCGCGGCCATATCCTTGTCCGGAATGCGGCAAGCGATTCCGGCAACAGTCCCATCTCACGCAGCATCTGCGCATTCACACGAACGAGAAGCCGTATGGCTGTGTGTATTGTGGACGTAATTTCCGCCAACGCACGATTCTCAATCAGCATCTGCGTATCCATACCGGTGAGAAACCTTACAAGTGCCAGCAATGTGGCAAGGACTTCCGTCAAAAAGCGATCCTGGACCAGCATACGCGCACTCACCAGGGCGATCGGCCATTCTGTTGTCCGATGCCCAACTGCAGGCGGCGGTTCGCCACCGAGCCCGAGGTGAAGAAACACATCGACAACCACATGAATCCGCATGCGGCCAAAGTGCGCCGGAATTCGAGCGGTGACACGAAACCACCTGGCACACCTGCGGGCTTGGGTCCGGTACCCGTGCCTCGCGGCCTCACGCCGACGGTCGTCAAGCCGGAGCTTTACTTCCCGCAGTGTTACGCGCCCGCGTTCAATCATCAGCCGCCAGTCTCCACCGCGCAGTTCCCCGGCGCCCAGGCGAACGGCGTCTCCGTGACCGGCGAATTCAAGCCACCGACCGGTCTGCCGCCACAGTGACTAACCGTCCATCCTGCCGCCTACTAGCAAGCAGGAATCCCCGCGCTGAGGTTTCAGCGCTGTTTCGGTCCCGCCGCGTTGGAGGCCGACGCAACGTCAAACGCCATCGCCGCCGCCGCCGCCGCCGCCTCTCGATGCGGCCAGCAGCCGATCCAGCAACACTACCCGTGACATTTATCATTGTGCATTTACTAGAGTCTTCTTTATTTTCGTCGTTTCACAACTCGCTCGCTCTTCTTGTTCCATCGCTGCTCAGCAGAACCTCAGAACACGTCGCCCAGCTAGTCTTGAGCTCGACGGTGAGAACGGTTTCGTCGTGCAAATCGCCATTACGCGATTATCCGAGGAACATTGCGAAAATGTGTATTATCCGGTCGCTACGTCTCTGGTTGATTGTCGGATAAAATTATCTCCGAGAGAAAACCGCTTTTCTGTCTGAATCGTAGCGCACCGGCTATGATATAAACAGAGAGAGAGATATAAATTTCGGGGATATAAATTCGGATACTTGTTTTTGAAACGTCTTGGATTTTTGCGTTGTTTGAAAAGCAAGGAAGATACGCGGACTGGGTCACTCCTCTGTGACATATTCATCGAATATGCCGTTACATGTATCGCGAAAAGACGACAATCCTAGTTAGGATTATCGCTATCGTTACACGGGTCGCAACCGAGTAACAAACGATAATGCGATTATAGTTGCTCAGGTATCAAACGGTGTCTCGCGACACTCATAGTAAGTTCGTGATATACATTTTCTTCTTTATGTACGTGATCGCGATTAAATGTTTGTTACTTCTTCGCGATCGTCCGTTATTTTCGACTTTTCAGCAGCACATCAGATTAGATCGACCCTTTAGAGATCCCAAGATTAATGCTTCGTTATTGTTGGCGCACACCGATGACAGTCTAGTTAATCCGCCAGCACACGCAAATACCGCTTCTCGCTGCGATCCGCATCTCCAAGTCGTCGAATTCGCACGAAGGACAAACAACGTAAGGGGGACACGGAAAAGCTCGGAAAAGCGGCCGCCGCTCACCGTCGAGTTTCTTACTAGACAGACCAAGGTAAAGTAATCAACGAAGAGTCTCGTCTATTCCTCCGTACGTATTTTTTATAATTAATCGATTACGACGTACCTTCTCGCGTTTCTTTCGTGGACAAGCGAGTAGCACGAGAGTTCGGGGCTTACTCCGCGAGACATAGGTGAATTCAGAGAGATTGACAAGAGAGTTCCCGCGAATCCCTCTGAATCCATCTATCTTCTTCTCGCGAGATGGTGCATGCGCCGCCCGGGGCGTCACCGCTCACCGTTCAAAATGCCACGTATCGCCAAACGGGTTGAAGATGTTCGATTTCGACCAGACTAAAACGATTGTGATACAATATTTAACTTGCCTATGTTTTAAAAGTTTCGCGGGAGAGAAAGAGAACGAAAGGAAGAATGAGTGAGCGAGTGAGTGAGAACGATCTATATATACATACATACATATATACATATATATATTGAAGGGAGCACTTACATGACCACAAGAAGAATACCTGTAAATATGTATGTAAAGCCGTTCACTCCAAACAAAAGAAGAAGAACGAGAAAGAACGATGGAGAAAAGTGAAGTATGTGAGCGTGTGCGAATGAGACTGGGTGTGAATGAGATGAAAAAAAAAAAGAAATAAAAGGTACGACTGAATGAGAGGGTAGGAGAAAGACGATATAGGGGTTGGGGCGGGAAGGCGGGGGAGGGGAGATATGACGAGCAGAAAAGAGGAAGATACGAGAGATTATAGGTAGAATTTACGAGAACGATGCATCCTCCCACTGTGCTGAGCCATAGCTTTCAGTAGATCGAGTCGCGACGACGATGATGATCCGCGATAGCACAAAGGGGAAAAGAAACGGAAGAAGAAGAGGGGGAGGGGAGGGGTGCAATTCTTGTATACTATAGTAATATTTGAATGTATATTTATACAGGTTATATTATATTCTAACTATATGACGATATTTTGAATCGGTTTTAAAATCAGATTGGTGCTGATAAAAGAAACTAGATAAGCAAGTACGAAAAACAAGAGGAGGGAACGTGGAAGAAGGCTGAGACACCGTAGAAGTTAGCGTTTAAGTAGCGTAGACGATAGCGTAGCTCAAAGTAAAGAAAAGACTTTGAAGGACCGCGCTCGCACGGGGTCCGCTCACATCTCGGAGAATTATCATCATCACTCTTTTAAAAAAAAAAATAAGGGGGAAAAAGGAAAGGAAAAGAAAAAGAAAAACAATTCGTGGCAATACTTAGATGAAGAGCAAAAAAATGGGAGAAGAGAGGGGGAAGAAAGCTTCAACGTATTAGAAGATAATCTTTTAAAATTTCTATATTAAGACGTGTGTGATCTCTCTAATTATTGTACATTACGTAATGAGTCTAAAACTTAGACGACGAGATACGTTAGTATAATTACGATTACGTACGTATTAGGTGTTCTACAGTTAGTCTTTTGTCATTTAGAGACACAGAGATCTGAAGATGATAATTGCGCGGCCATATTCTCTGTGGCCTGTTCGTAGTGCCTCGGAATTGCTGCTCGCGGCAGTGATTTGACCGTATTTTTAGGAAGGTATATTATATTATATTATATTGAGGAACCGCAATTATATTATACTCTCCAATATACAATATTAAAAAAAAAGAAAAGGAAAGGGGGGGGGAATCGCGTCGTAAGGCGTCGCGTTAATAAAACGACTCATTAAATTATTATGACGAAGGAAAATCTACTTATATATATCGCGAGGATGAAATAACGACAACGATATAATCGTGGTTGTTGTTCACTGTTGTTTTTGTTGTTCTTATTATTTTTACTTTTCTTTCTCTCGTTCATTACGTATAAAATGTGAAGTTATGAAGAAAAAAAAAGATGGCGAATGGGAAAATATTGAACGCCGGGAATGGCGGGGTCTCTTCCGGTGGCCGTTCGTAATATTTATGAGTATTATTATTAACGTTGAAATAATTTTAATACTTATCCATGTGTCCTTTTTAGGATATTTTTATTGTTCTTGCGGCGAAAAGAAGAAAGCGCAAGCAAACTTGTTAGACATTAATGCTAATTGAGTCATACTCGAAACATCGATCCGTATGCCTTCGTATACACACATGCGTCTGTAACAAAAAATATAACATATTCTTATTACGTTTCGTAGAAATTTTTTGCAATAGCATTTTGGATATGGTAAAGTCGCTCAGTAAACAATAAGTGAGTTTAAGATGAAAATAAAAAATTATAATTATAATGAAACTAAAGTAGGTACACGATTCGTAATTTTCTAGGGCGCAGTACACTTTGAAACTTTTAAAAAGTCGAAAAATTTTTTTATTTAAAATGTAGTTTGAAGTCTTACAATTAATATACAAAAAGTCCTAAGTGGATATTCGAATTATTTTTCAAGTTATAGCAATTGAAGTGGACGTACGGCGTATCTATGCGTAGGTAGTCGATTCAATCGTTGCACTGCAAACAATGTGGATATTGAAGCCAAAATATACATACAGAAGAATACAAAACATGGAAGGAATTACATGGAAATGAATGCTTCATCAATCACGAAGAATACGCGGAAAACTTTAAACGCATTTTCTCGAAACCATATTTTGCAAGTGTACATGATTTCTCAAGCTACAATTGACGGATTGGCTTGCAATTTGAAATATACGATATATACAAGAAATAGTAGTTTTCGTCTGACCGACAATTTTGTTGATAACATTTTTAGTTTCCGTGATACAACAACATTTATATTGTCAAAAATTGAAACGTGTATATTTGCGTCATTTTTCAAAAAAATGAAAAAAAAAACTCGATCAGACGATAGGGGGTGTATTATAATTTATGAAACTATTTCGATTTTTTATTTCAGAATAACCAAAATGGCGGAATCATACACTATTTACCTGTATACGCAAAATCACATACAATATTTTTCCATAAAATTTGCAGCATAACAAGTTCAATATTAATAAAATGCCAAAAGAGGATCACATTTATTAAAGTTTTTTGCAATCCAAACTCAAAAAAATCTTCACTTTTAGATTGATCAAAGTGTACTGTCCCTTTAAACAGTTTACGAAATCGTATGTAAAGAAGAACTTGATGATTACTTCATTTTTCTATTACTTCATTCTTGCTCCGCGAGCTCTTTAATTGTTATAACTTATAATATTAATTGTTATTACTTATAGCGGTCATTTGCACAAAAATCAAAAGAATACACTTTTTTAAGATTTTGAAATTTGGCTCACCGAAAAAAATATAATTAAGAGAAAAATGATCCTTTCCTTTAGTACTACAGACTTCAAACTGACCGCACTATAATCGTTTCTTAATTAGAGATTTATATAAATAATTCATTTTTATTGTGAACATCTGTTCTTATTTACATGTTTCACTCGTTATCAAAAAGACAGAATATTTTTGTCGATCGAATAAATGTCAGTGTCCGGAATGTTTCTCGTCTTTCACAAATAATATATCAGTGATTTATATTATCCTAAAACAGTGACACTCGAATAAAAATTGCAACTACTATTTTACAAATAACAGCCATAAAATATTTTTTTTAATTGCATTTTCTTTTTTTTTTTATTTTCTGAGACAACTAAAGTTTTACTTCTAAAACTTTTTAATCATATATATTTCTTATACATTTTGGACGTTAAAAATAATCTGTCTTTTATACATTTTATTTCTCTACGAGATAAAAAAACATTAAAAACTCAACTGACGAATGTCCAGCACACACAATGATACGCGCGATAAATTATAAAATAAAATATAAATTTACGAGTACTAATTTATGATGTACAAGAAAGTAAACGTTTTAAATTAAATTATTTTTAGCAAACATTTTTGCTCAAAACTTTCTTGTAACTGTAATTAATGGCCGGTTTTTACATGCACTTCTCCTTCGGTCCAATTTATGTCAGATCGGAAATATCAACGACGATGGTCTTATTTCGATCGGTAAAACTCGCCGCGGGAAACATTGCTCGCAAACTGTGTGGTAACGTTGAAAAGAGTAGCGCACTAGGGAAGGAATTTTTCTGGAAAAAAAATAGAGAAACTGCAACAAGAGGAAAAAGAATTACGTTGACAGCATTTCGAACTTATTCATGCGCACGGCCGATTGTACTTTAAAGAAATCCGTGATAACGAAAATAACCGATTACAAAGACACACATATATAAACATATTAACATAACAGGCCAAGCTTAGAGAAAAAAAAGAAAAAAAGAGAGGAAGAGGTAGAGACACACGCACTCGCATTTCCCGACGTAATCTTCTTTCTCTCTAACGAGTCAAAATATTATCGAGAAGCGAATTAAGTTTGATGAGAATCGCGTAAACTGAAAAATGTGAAAACGAAAATAATAACTGTTGTAGACTATGTGTAGATAAAAACAGATATTTGTTTTTTTTTTTTATATTATTACTACGAAGTACTCGATATAATTGTATCATTATATCTTATTATTATTACTATATTATTATTTTATTATTAATATTATATTATTATTACTATTATATATATGTAATAATTATTATATTATTATTAAGTTTTATACGAGAGAGATATTACGTATGGTGCATTTCTTTTAGTATCGTCGCAGTGTTTTCATCACCTTTGTTTTTATTACGCTATTATCGACTGTGCGAAATTCTCTC